TAGTGCCCATCGGTTAATTACAACGACGCGAGTATTCGAACTTGCCGCCGCGCGATCCAGGACGAGGCTTCCCAGAGTCGGCCACATCTAGAGGTCCAGGAGGCGCCGATCCGCGCAAGCCACGAGAGCGCCATCCAGAGGTACAGAGAGCAATCGCGCGGTGCACCACTACCGGTAAGTCAGTATCTAATTGTAATGGTTCCTACACAAAGGACGCGGTAATGCTTGCCGCGCGGCGGAAGTCCGCGCGACAGCCAATCAATATGTTGTTTTTCCGTAAGAGTTAGAAGGTTATTACGGAAAGCAGCATATTGATTGGCTGTTGCGCGAACTTCTGTCGCGCGGCAAGCATTACCGCGTCTTGTGTGCAAGAGCCATAATACTACACTCGCATATTATGGGTGCGTTCGCTTTGAACGCTTATGCGCTTTAAGCGCTTATAAATATCGCTCACGTCGTTTACTTTGGCGCTATAAGCGCTGAAAAACTGCATATTGACGTTATGCGTGACATCATAACTCGCGCTTACATTCACTTCTTCTATCGAGATAGGGCAGTAAAGGCGTGAGCACTTATAAGCGCTTATTTTCCAAAGAGAACGATAAGTTAGATTGCGTCGATTTCATCGACGCAATCTAACCTCTAATATAAACCTTAAAGTGAAATAGTGTTTCAAAATGACTTTCAACGAGAGTAATAAAACCAGAGTAACTCTGCAAGATTTTACAAATAATAAAATGTATACACTTGTTGTTACATCAAATGAGGCAAAACGTGTAGAAACAGGTAAGTTTAGGACACCTCTCATAAAAATTTATTATTTTTGTTATTAAATCATATTTATTTTGAGTAATAAAGCACTGTCCAACAGTAATTTAAAAAAAAATAAGTAATATTTCAGCAACACTAGTAATACATTTGATGAAGGAAACGGACTTTCTCACAAATTTACCTAAATCTTCATATTTTGTTGTATAAAACATGAATATTATATGAAAGTTAAAATCGTCGATCTTAAATAAAACAAAAGTTATAAAGTGAAAAGTTATTAAAATGTGACTTAAATACTTCATCATTGTATAATGGTACAATCACTTCCACATAGTTTTTTAACCAAGGTATTGTTTTTTTTTATTGATTCAATCATTACGGATAAATACTTTTCTAATTCTTCTTTATATAAGTTATTTGTTTCGTTATCATCAAAAACATCTAATGAAACTAATATTTGAGCAAATATACAAACAATTTCCTTATCTTTATCCTCCATTTTTACATTCACAATTGCTTACAACAGCCAAAGGAAACGGTTTTGATCTTTTCGAGTGCGCTTAGAAATCAAAGTAACCGGGCAAAAATAGCGCTCATAAGTGTGAGCGCTTTAAGTATGTGAGCGTCCAAAACGAACACACCCTATGTACAAAGTGAGTAGAATTTCTTATAGTGACTTTAATTTTTATGGTTATACGACAATTGGCATTTGACATAAGAATCCTACGTCCATTAAAAATGAACAACGAAAGTCAATTGAAGCGTGATGACGTATAGGCAGTGAAAGCATACCGACGAAGTTTGCAAAGTTAAGATACGTATGCATCAGAAAGTTAAAGTATAATATATTATAAATTATATGCAATAAGTAAAATGTAAGTTTATTTTATGTATTTATTGCATGTATTTTATGTATTTATTGCATGTATTTTATGTATTATTTTATATGAAATATATATTTTCTGCAGATTTGTAATTTTAATATGAATATAATATTTTATCTTTTAATAATTTATCCTAAAGTAATCCCAGACAAGCAGATTTTCAAGGGACGTTCTAAAGACATCACTATGTCTTAAAAACATGCTGAAAAAATTCTAAAGATGTCCATTACAAATTGGTGTTGTCTTGAGTATATTGTAATATTTGTTTTACTTACAAATTCACGTTAAATCTTTCATTTTTCACGAGTTTAGTGAAGATTTTCACCTTTCACGAATTTATTACAAAATTTTCACTTTTCACGAGTTCACACTAGGGGAAAAGATTCATGATCGCCACCCAGTTCAGAAAGTTCTTCGAAAAAGAACAAACTGAAAAGGAGAAGAAAGTGGGTGCTTTCCAGTTGTGTACACTGTTTACACAAAACCAGTTTATTGGTTGCATATTATCTTACAAGATATTTTAGATAATATGTAACCAATAAATTGGTTTTGTGTACGTATGTGTCAAGATGTGTTAAGCAATTGGAAAGCACCCAGTTTCTGGCCAAAGGGGATACAGAGCAATGGGGGTGGGACCCGATTGACCACTATACGATTGGACACAGATTGTAATGATTGGTTCGACCTAGTAATTCACTAGATAATTCTTTTCATCGGTTGGTTGTGTCCAATCGTACCGTGGTCAATCGGAACGCTCCCGAGCAATGGCATAGAGTCACTATAGTAAAAGTGCACTTAGCCATCTATTGAAGTCTTGAAGTCTGGTCAAAGGGGTTAATTTTCCAGACCAAAATTTAAGAAGAGAGTTTTGTGCTTGTTAATTCAGCACGTGGGACGCAAAGAGAATTGTTTCGATATAAAACTAGTTTTTAAAATAAAAATTGAATAAAAAACGTATATAAGTTATATAGATTTATTAATCTTTATTAATCTTAAAGTTTTTTTTTCCATGGAACGTAAGTATAAGATAATGCGTCCCAATTTCTCTAAATAACCTCGTTACATATTATATTTTGTAATATTTATTATTTACATTTGTATAGAACGTAAAAATGGTAAGACACAACAATCAGTTACCAGATAATCTTCCACAATTGCAAAACCTTATCAAACGCGACCCAGAATCTTATAAAGAAGAGGTAAGCTCTCAATTATATATCTTATATTATGATACTTTATTTGGGTATGTTATATTATCCTTATATATTTGTTTACTTTAAAAGATGTAAAAATTTAATAAATATGTCCACAGTTTCTACAACAACATCAGCATTACAAATCTATTTTAGAAGTTTTTCATCTGGAACCAACACAATTTAACAAAAGTCTCGATGAATTGATAACCTTCTTAGCACAGGTTAGCATACTTAAATTATAAAAAAGCAAAAACACATCTAACCTTACATATTGTTGTATCAATCAATGTTACTAACTTGCTGAATCTCATTTAAGTTATATAGGTGACAAATTAAGAATTAGCTGTAGTCCAGTATTATTTTTTAATCAATCTTAAATTTTAATAATGGAGAAATATTTAGAAAAAATAAACAACAGTATTATATGTCGAGATAATATAATAGCAAGATTGTATTCTTTAATCAGCACAACAAATGAGCCAATGCCACAAAGCATATTTATATATGGTCACATGGCTACTGGGAAATCATTAATTATACAAAGTTTACTCAATCATTTGAAGTATAATGTCAGCTATATTAATTGTATGGAGCACTTAGGTAGTAAAAATATATACAATTATATATTGAGTGATTTGACTGTATCCACAGAAGAATTAAGTAGTGATATACTGTCAAAGCAAAATTGCGACAATATGGCAGACTTTATACATGCACTTAAGAGAATTTCGTCCAACGATAAACGTCCAATCGTATTGGTGTTTGATAAATTTCATAGGATGAGAGATTTTGATGTAACTTTTATGCCAGCAATCTCAAGACTTAGGGAATTGTCAGGCATTAATTTATGTACAATTTTTATAAGTGAGATCTCATGGACGAAGTTTCGCACTAAAATTAGCATGTTGGAACCTATAAAGATTTACTTTCCACAATACACGAAGGAAGAGCTGATCGAATTGTTGCTATTGGACAGTCCACAGAAATATGATATGCAATTCTATAAAAATTATTTGAATCTCTTCCTTTCTGTATATTTCCGATTTTGTAGAGATTTGAATGAGCTGCGACATATGGCCAAAATCAATTTTGTAAAGTATGTAGAACCCGTGGAAAGTAAACGAATCGAACCTGATAATGCTGCTGCGCTATGGCGAAATATTTCTGCTACTTTGCGATCTAATTTAGAAGTCATTTATCTCCGAGTTTCTACGGATGATCTCTCGCAGTCGGATTGTCAAATATCTCGGGAGATCGAGTCGACAACGAAGTTAGCATTGAGTTTCGAGTTACCGTTTTACGCAAAGTATATGCTAATCGCGGCATATTTAGCTTCACATAATCTGTCGAAGTACGATCAACGCATCTTTATGAAGCAAAGTAATAAGAAGAAAAAGAAAATACGGTCGATTAAAAATACGGCGACGATGGATCAGCAGAAGAAACCTCGAGTTTTTACCATCACAAGAATGCTCGCTATCTTTTGTGCTATCCTCGATGAAAAAGTAGATATCAACGCTAATTTACTTGCCCAGATATCTACTATGTGTCAACTTGGCTTGTTAATTGTCAGCGGGGATAACATTTTTTATTTGGACGAACCAAAATACAAGTGCTGTGTAAGTCGTGATTTTGTCACAGTTGTAGCTAAGACAGTTGGCTTTGATATAAAGCATTATTTAAGCGTGAATATGAATTGAAAAAAAAATATATATAAGCTTCATACATACTTCCTCATTACTTGAATCTATTTTCAATCATAGTTCTGCTTTTAGTTGTAGTTATATTTATTTCTAACAACTTTACTTAATATGTTTTTGTTGTGTGAAAAGATTTTCTATGTAATAGAATTCGCATATTTTTATTTCTAAGATTTGTGTGAACTTCGTTTGATACATATATTACATATAATTTGAAACATAATTGTTATAACATATGCTTAATTTATTTAAGAATATTATAATTTTGTAAACTGATGGAGAAATCTAATTTTTTTTCTAATTAAAAGTTCTGCAAACACTGTACAAATTGTATTCATTAATATCTTTCCTTATTTATAAATATAAATACATTAAATATAGTTATATAATATTAATCGTGTATGTAAGTGTTGTATGATAATTTGTATTATCTCTTCATATAGTCACTATTTTTGTAATATTGTATTAACTCTCCACATAGTCACTATTTTAGTCACTAATATTAAAAATTTGTTAAAATTTGGTAAAATATGTATATGTTAAATACGTTTGTCTATGTTTTGCATATTACAGGTAGCCCATTGTTATACGGAGGATTTAAAAGCATATCCTCAAGAAATTATTGATATATTACAAAATCATAATACCATATTAGACAATGAAATGCGAATGGTAAGTACATTATATACATTTAAAGCTATATTATTATACAAATAAAAATATATTCATGTAAAATATATTCATATAATTTTTACTATTATATCTCCTAATTATATTTTTTACAGACATTTTGTAAAGCATTGATTCAGCTGCGCAACAAATCCCTCTTAGAACCCACTGCACTCCTCAGTTTATTTTTTGAACTTCTGAAATGTCAAGATAAGACTCTAAGACAATTCCTCCAAACGCATATAATTACGGATGTTAAGAATATCAATGCAAAGCGTAAAAATGCTAAAGTTAATACTGTGTTACAAAATTTTATGTTTTCTATGTTAAAAGATCCTAATACGAGAGCCGTTAAAATGTCCATAGACATTATGATAGAATTGTATAACAAAAACGTCTGGAATGACGCTAAGACTGTTAATGTTATAGCGACGGGTTGCTTTTCTAAAATAACGAAAGTAATGGTTGCCAGTATGAAATTTTTTCTGGGAACCGATCCGGAAGAAAAAGAAAGTGATAATAGCGATTCGGATAACGAGCCAAATATGCGAGAAGTTATGATGGCTAATAGAGTTAATAAAAAGACGAAAAAACGAGAAAAGCAGTTGAAGAAAGCTAAACAGCTATTCGTTGTAAGTTAACAATTTTTTGTAATTCTTCGTAATATTTATATATCGAAGTCATACGACTTGCATCTTTAATATATATTTCAGAAAGCAAAGAAGAAGAAATCTAAAGGACCACAATACAATTTCTCAGCGTTACATTTAATTCACGATCCTCAGGATTTCGCTGAAAAGCTTTTCAAGCAGATAGAGAAGAATAATGACAGATTTGAAGTAAAGTTAATGACTCTAGACGTTGTTTCCAGACTTATTGGTTTGCATAATTTATTCCTCTTTAACTTTTATCCGTATATACAGAGATTCCTTCAACCACATCAACGAGGTGAGATTATCACATCATGTAAATGTAATGCTTTGCCATGTAATTTTCCATCCTATTCTCATACATGTTGCTTTTTTTCTCTAGAGGTTACCAAGCTTTTACAGTTTATAGCTCAAGCTTCACATGAATTAGTTCCACCAGATGTACTGGAACCTGTTTTGAAGACTTTAGTCAATAATTTTGTAACAGAGAGGAATTCTGCGGATGTAATGGCTATCGGGTGACTATTTTAATGATTTACAAATGTATTGTGAAAGTCTACGTCAATATATATATATATATATATATATATATATATATATATATAATTTTGTTAATTTAGCTTGAATACCGTACGTGAGATATGTACACGATGTCCATTGGCTATGAACGGGGATCTGCTTGAAGATCTAACACGGTACAAACAATATAGAGAACGTTCTGTAATGATGGCAGCGCGTTCTTTAATCGGCACATTTAGACGTATTATGCCCGATTTGTTGCATAAAAAAGACCGAGGTCGTCCTACGGAAGCTAACGTTGCGATAGAAGCTCCCAAGTACGGCGAAGTTCGGGCAAACGAATTCGTACCAGGAGCAGAAGTTTTATTCGGCAAGCATAACGAGAATACTGAAGAAACCGATAACAGTGCTAGCGAAGTAAGCAAACATCAAATTATTTCATTAATGCAAAACCTGATATTATTTTATTACATTAAAATTTATTTATATATATTTATATACGTGTAGGATGATGAATGGATTGACGTGAGTCATAGTAGCGACGAAGAGATCAATGACGAGGAGACGATAGCTGATACAGATCAATCGATAGAATCTTCTGCTAGTGATAACGATGAAAACGATGATGACAATGATGACGATGATGACGATGATGACGATGATGACGATGATGACGATGATGACGATAATGATGGTGAAGATGAAAAGCAAAAAGAAGGAGAAAATAAGGACAGCGATAATAACTTAACATTATCTTGTAATGAGAAGAATAATATAGAAACTAATTGTAAAATAGATAGCGGGAAAAGAGAAACTGACAAAACTTTGCGAAAGGAAAACGTTTTAACGAAGCAACAAAAGAAGGCGCAAACATTAGAGAAGAAGTCAAAGCAGAAAACAGAACGCAATAAAGAGTTGACGGCTGAAAGAAGAACAAAAGCATCTTTAATATCTACTGAACGATTGCTTACAGATGAAGATTTTAGGAAAATCAATGTTGCATTAGTAAAACGAGAAGTAACATACGCCAAACGTGGCATTAAAAGAAAGCACGATCAAGTTGAGATAGAGAAACAGAGTGGAGAATTGGTAAAACTTAGCGACATAGAAAATATATATAAGAAACGTAAACATGATAAAGCAGCCCGACAGGAATCTGTGAAGGTATGTAGAAAATGTATATTTTAAGATCTAATATACAAAAAATTATATATATGTAAGCTCAACAGAACAAATCTATGTAAAAAATAAAACGGACATAATGAGCCAAATCCGTTTTATTCTTTACATATATTTTAATGCGATGTATATATAAAATAAGATGCTTTAACCGTATCATTGAATTTGTAGAAAGGACAGGAAGGAAGAGAAAAGTTTGGTTATAAGGATGGCAGACAAAATCCACTATGCAGTAAGACAAATCGCGAGAAAAGGAAAGGGAAAGCGTTCCAAATGTTGAAACACAAATTAAAAGGGAAGGTGAAACGATCCTTTAAAGACAAACAAAGAGCTCTTAGAAATCATCTGTTGAAGCAAAGAAAGATGAAATAATATACATATATAATTAGTGTACTGTATAATTTATTTTCATACCTTACACACTTTTGCCCGATGTTAATAAAGATCAGTTACATAAAATGTATGAAGTATACCTTTTATTAAAGTTGAAAAAGGCGCCGTTATTTTGTCTAAATTTCTTGCCAATCACGTTATGAAGATAGAAACGTACGACCAATAGCGGTTGGTGCTGCTCTTGACCGTAAAAGGAAGTAAGAAATGAGACTGCGCCCTGACGGTCGCTATCATCATCGTTCGCGACAGCACGCGGCTTCTTTCAGCCTTCATTGCAGTTTCTTTTGTCATTACGGGAAACGTTATTTGAGGTGTAATTAAATCGTTGCATCTTGCCGAAATAATTGTTTTATTGCAATGTCAACGGTAGCGAGTCCTTTAGCCGTTGGAGGCATCCGGCAATCGGGAGCACCGGTTCGCACACAAAACGGTGAGATAATCCACTGAATTTGGTTATATTTCACCCTGAATCCCTCTTCTCTTCGAAATCGATATTACATTTTACGCATCGTGCCGATCTTACTCTTTACTTGAATATTTATTAGTATACGATGATTTGTAATTATGAATCTATCAGAAGTAATAGGAGTATTTCGATATTTTCTTTTATTCCACACATGGTTATGTTAATTCATGATACATAACCATTTAGTGCAAAAAATGTGTTTATTATATATTTATTGATTCTGCTAAATATTTCTTATATCTGTCATGATTTTTATATGCCATTAAAATTGTGTCTGTGTGACGAATTTTGATGGCAAATAATTAAAAAGTAGTATTCCTCAAAAGTTTCTTAAGTCAACTTTGTATATACAAGATATTTCGTATGTTATATATATTTTTTAATAATTGCTAATTTCTGTTTAAAGCATAAAATAAGAATAATATTTTTTATTAATCTATAATTTATTTTATAATTTTATATAAATATGTAAAATAAAATATATTTTAATTTCTTGCAGTTATGGCTGCTTGTGCGATCGCTAACATAGTTAAAAGTTCTTTGGGTCCAGTTGGATTAGATAAGATGCTGGTTGATGATATTGGTGTACATAATTAATCTTTTTATTCTTTTATAAAATACAATATAATATTATACTAAATATAAAAATTGTTTGGAACAAGATATATTAATAATTTCTCCCTTAGGATGTTACTGTTACCAATGACGGAGCAACTATCTTACGTTTGTTAGAAGTTGAACACCCAGCTGCAAGAGTTTTGGTCGAATTAGCACAATTACAAGATGAAGAAGTTGGAGATGGTACTACTTCAGTTGTAAGTAATATATTTGTATATATAATAAAGTCTAAGGTAAGAAATGATATATTTAAATCAACAATTGTTTTACATGTATTAGGTAATAGTAGCAGCTGAGCTTTTGAAAAATGCAGATGAACTTGTGAAGCAAAAGATTCACCCAACTTCAGTAATTAGTGGTTACAGACTTGCCTGCAAGTAAGTATGCAATTGTTCATTCTTTTAGTCAGAATTATCTTCAATATTAAATTACTTTGTTGATATATGATATGAATTTATCTAAATTATATTAATAAATTATCTAAATTATATAATAAATATAATATTACATATTAGCAGTATGTTTTAAAGAAAAGGAAATATTTTAATAGAATTCAATTTTAAATCAATTTTACTTCCAGAGAAGCATGCAAATATATTCAAGAACATTTGACTGTTAATGTGGATGAACTTGGACGAGATTGCTTAGTTAATGTTGCAAAAACATCAATGTCTAGCAAAATTATTGGAGCGTATCCTTTCTGTTTATCTGATAAATCTAATTTATCTAATTCTATTTATCTGGATAATATTTTTTCTTCCACTACACAATAATTGTTCAAAATATTTCCTGTGACTAATAATTAGAGATGCCAATTTCTTTGGAAATATGGTAGTTGATGCTGCTAATGCGGTGAAGATCAGTGATGGCAAAGGAGGCTCCTTGTATCCCATTAAGGCAGTCAATGTCTTGAAAGCTCATGGAAAGAGTGTCCGAGAGTCTGTTTTAATTCAAGGATATGCTCTAAATTGCACTGTTGCTTCTCAAGCGATGCCGAAGAGGATAGCGAACGCAAAGATCGCATGTCTGGACTTCTCGTTGCAAAAAGCAAAAATGAAGATGGGCATTGAAGTACTTATTACAGATCCTGAAAAACTGGAGGCTGTTCGTCAACGTGAAGCGGACATTACTAAAGAACGTATTCAAAAGATTCTTGCTGCTGGAGCCAACGTGATTCTTTTATCTGGCGGCATTGATGACTTATGCTTGAAGGTATAACTGCAAGTCTGTTGTAGAATGATTTCAAGAAGTAAACGTATACTGACTAAGTAACAATACTGACTTTTTGCATATTTCGTAGTATTTCGTAGAAGCTAAGGCTATGGCAGTACGTAGATGTAAAAAGGCTGACCTGAAAAGAATCGCTAAAGCTACGGGTGCGCAATTCCTCACCTCGTTGACTAATATGGAAGGAGAAGAGAGTTTCGATGCCAATTTCCTAGGAGAGGCTACAGAAGTAGTGCAGGAAATGATATGCGATGATGAGCTTATTCTTATCAAAGGGTATGACATTATTATAATATGAGCAAAAAGTAAAATTCATAATTGCGACAATTAATATTATGAAAATTAACTAATTGTCTTCTTTAATTTCAAGTCCCAAGGCACGCACAGCCAGTTCTATTATTTTACGTGGACCAAACGATTATTATTGCGATGAAATGGAACGTTCAATACACGATGCATTATGTGTCGTCAAGAGAGTTTTGGAAAGCAAAAATGTCGTCGCAGGCGGAGGTTGCGTAGAGGCTGCGCTTTCTATATATTTAGAAAACTTTGCGACATCATTGGTACTGAATTTTATACTTCCCACTATCTTTTCTCTTTTTTTTTACATTGAGGTTAAATATATGTTTTTAAATTACAGAGTTCTCGAGAACAACTTGCTATAGCAGAATTTGCAAGATCTTTATTGATCATTCCGAAAACGTTAGCCGTAAACGCTGCACAAGATGCGACTGATCTTGTCGCCAAGCTTCGAGCCTATCACAATTCCAGTATAACGAAATCGGACCTTGCTGATCTGAAATGGTAATATATTTTACATTTTTGAAATGGTTTCTATATTTAATACAATGCGTGAAAAGTTACATGGAATTGTTATTTTACAGGGTGGGCCTTGATTTGCTAGTAGGAAGTATAAGAGACAACAAGAAAGCTGGCGTGTTAGAACCAGCAATTTCGAAAATTAAATCTTTGAAATTCGCCACTGAAGCAGCCATAACTATTCTTCGAATCGATGACATGATTAAATTAGATCCCGAGCGTCCGAAAACTAAATCATATCAAGACGCTATGGAAGCCGGCGAATTGGAAGATTAATATTAAAATGCATTTACGCTAAAATGCGATATGTTTACAAGAGAGAAATGTAAAAGATTTGTAAATCTTTCACCGCACAGACACACACATGCCACGCGATAATAAAGAAACGCAAGTTATAATTTAATTAACGATACCAATATTTGCAACTGTCCGTATATCGTATACAGTTTAATTCCATGTTCATATGTAAAATGTTGCTATCTAAAAATTGAAAATAAAGCTTTTTCATAATATAACATGCATTCCCGTATTTTGATATATAATACAAAGAAGTAATCTGGTTGTTATCTGAAAGAGACATTAATTCTGTGATAATTGTGTTCCTCTTCTTAAACACTAGAAGGCTATTAAACTTATTCCTTTTAGATCTGTATGAATAATTTTTTTATGTTTAAAGCAATTTATAGTCGTTAATATAATAACCATATTTACATTACATTAATAATGCATATTTGACGGTAATTATATGAAAATGTTTAAAAATGCGCGTCATAATAAATTAGTAGTAAAATAACACGCTCTAAATCACACGCACGCAATATTGCGATCTTTGCTTCCAGAAAAATATTTAATATATATTAGCGGTGAGTGGGCCAATCTTTGTTATACAATACATAATAAAGTTACAAAATTCAGTATTTTATAAATAAATTTGACATGTGATGACAAAATAAACATTTTACTACAGAATACAATTGATTTGAGTTTAAATGAGTTTTTTTAGCTAGCGCATATAAAGAATAAAAAGTAATGATTATAAAGAGAAGAATATATTTTAGTAATTTATAATAAATTATATAACATTAATGTTATATAGTTTAACAGTTCATTAATGGAAAATAATGGAATAACAGTTTTAAGTATTATGCGATATGTATGTTCATAGGGGTTCAATATCATTTATAAACAATATTATATAAATGATATTTATTTTTCGAATAGACAATGAATCGTTAAATAGTAATGATGTTATTTACAATGTTTACTACACCGTGACAGTTGATTGATTCTTTTAAATTTTATGACGCGTTACTAAATTACTTATGATTATATTTTAACGATTTGTTTCATCTGAATTGTAGTATATGTTTATTTACAATGCAAACTTACGATTTCATTGCAAAATTTTTATGGTAAATGACCAGTCTGCTAAAATATAGTTTTTCTTTTCATTTTTGTAACATTCTTATACCCCATTAAGGTAGGTATACAAATAGAACAAATCATTAAATGATTTTTTCTGAGACTATAGTACACACTATTTTCTCTAAGAAAATAGTCAGCACCATAATTAAATTATTTGTAATGTATATACCTATTTGATAATAATTTTTATTTACTCCAAATAAATATATTACTAAAGAACAAAATATTTCATAATTCCTATAAAATTGACTCTGCAATCGTAAGTAAAGTATTGTTAACATAAAATTTATGGTTCTTACATGTCTGCATTATAATTAATTTTGAGACGTATTTATATAATATGTATAATATAGAATATATATATTTATATATACACATATTATGTGTAAATACGCGCACAATCTTTACGCGAGTGAAAATAGAAGCATGTTGTTAGACAACACAAAAATAATACATAAAATTATTATTCACAAATACTTAAATTGACTCTTCCATTAATAACTGTTTTGTTACAAATAAATGTGTGTATAAGCACTATAAGTAAATTTCTGGATTAGTTTTTTACCTTATAAATTAATAATCTAGAAATATATATATGTAACTGCATTAACATTCTATTATTACATACCTATCTCAATAAAAATTATGAGTTATATCAAAATTTAGAAAGTTATGTCAATAATATATTTGTAGTTTTGGACCTTTTTGTAATATAGATTTAAGAAGTTAGTAATGATAAATACACACATGTGTGTATGTTGTAAAATATTTTTTAACTATTTACTCATTTTATTTACAAACCCTGTATGGCTTGATGAATGACATAAACTTTATAGACTTTTGTAGGAACAGAAGTTTAGCAAAGTTAATGATTACATCTAAATAAAAAAAGCGTCAATGCAGTATAAAAAAAGGAATGGAATATGATTAATAGATCTTATTTGCAATTTTGGTATATAACATTCATTTGCTTAAGACAGAGGATCCAAAACAAAATAATTATTTTTATTTTTTATAGATTTTGTATTAAGAAAGCAAGTTCAATATATTATTCTATGATTTGCTTTGATGAGAAAAAGAAAGAAAACATGAATAATTATTTTTGATATTTTCTGCATAGATAAAATTTTGTTCATCCTTGTTCGTGTTCGAAATTATATAATTAGGATTGAATACCTTTATAACGCAGGGTTTTCGAATTTTGGTCCTTTTGTGACTGTAATTTCGGCATATGAATATTCTTCATGAAGTTCTAGTACTTGAAATTTCTTCAGCACTAACAGTGTATAAAATTTCTGTGCAACCTACAAAAAATAAAATGGGATAGAATGAAAAAATTTCTGTTTTCAATATAAGATTCCAAGAAGATAACACAACATTGAGTATAGTTTCTCAAACTACTAACCTGCTTGCGGTTATTCTTAAATGCCATTTCTGATAACGTTAATTTATCTTTGGTATCCAGTTTGCTCTTAATAACGTGATACATATGTGCTGCTCTTTTGTTGAGAACACGCTCTTCAAACTGTTCATAAGTTTCATCCACCTGCTGCTCCTCTTGCTAAAAAAACATATTATAAGTATCTCATAAATATCTCAAAAAAAAAATTTGGATATATAAATAATACAGAAAGAATATATCACTTATATGTGTGTGTGTGTGTGTGTGTGTAATGCGTGCAAAATAGTTTTTTAAATGATGAAAGATAACTTACAGGTCCCACGGACGGCGGAAACTCATAATCTTCGTGATTCCAGGGTGTAGCAGGTCCTCTTTCGGAAATTGCACCAGGTGTATGTGCCGGAGGATGATGTTCGTCGTAACCTATATATGAGACTTGTGGTTGCGCCTATTAAAATTGTCGAAAAAATATATTATAGAATAATTGTTACTAAAAGTACAATGTGGATACATCTTGTATATGATACGGATGCTTCAACTCACTTGATCGTAACCCATGTTTTCCATTTGAGGCATATCGGATGGTTGTATAGCGGTAATAATAGCCATCTCTTGTGTTGGTGCTTGTGTTACTGGTTCTTCGTTTGTGTTGAGTACCGAGTTAACTTCAGCTGGTGCGAATTGTGGTGTTTCTGTGTTGAGCACCGGTGTTTCGGAAGACGGCGATACTACCTCTGATGGTTCGATGGAAGGCACAATGCTACAGATGTCGGAAACCGTTGTTTCCGCTGGTAAAGGTACTTCGGGTGGTACAGGCGACTCTGAAGACGGAAGACTTTGTTGTGGGATTAAACTTGGTACTTCTACTGCCTCGGCGTTTACTGACGATTGACTGACGTCTGCTGGAGGTGCCTGGGGTGGTGGTGGAGGAGGCCTTATCTAAACGAAATAATAATATTCATTATGTTATAATAATATTCCACAAAAATGTACTTTGTTAAGTCTCTGTTTTATTTATTCTTTGAGGAATTGCGTTTTCTTTTTAAAATGTTCCTTATCACTAACCTCATCATCCTGCGGCGCTTTTCGTTTTCGTCCCATACGTTTATTAAGAATACTTTGTTCATAATTGGATGTTTCTGCTTCTGGAGCATCTCTCATTTGCTCTAAAGGCATACCATCTTCCTCGGCTCCGAGTCGCCCGAAGTCTTCATGATCATAAGATTTGCTGGTTAAGTGTCTTTGATAATTCTGTTTGAATAATATTAAATTAGAACATTATTTGTCTGTATAGATACTTGCAATAATTTTAATTGTTAATTAAATGATCGTAAGATGTAAAATTGTCTTACTTTAAAGAGAACACGAGCTGGGATCGGCCTTCCTGGCAAAGCAAACAGTTTCTCTACACCACCAGTTTCCTTCCAATGCATTAATCTTTTTGTTGGCGGTGCCAAGTCCAACGTTGTGATGATATCAGTAGTATCTGATAATTGTGCCTTCATTTCTTCACCAGAAATATTTTTCACTTCGTCGACAATAAGTTTACGTTTGCGTTTAGCTTTTGTAAAACCTAAGAAAGAGATATTTACTTATTAGTTACAAAAAATAATATCAATATTATATCAATGCTAAAATATAAAAGTTTTACCTTTTAAAGCGGATGCGTCGATCGGAGCTAGTGCGAAGCTTTCTTCTTCATCGTGTAGCAAAGTGGTTTGATCTTGCAATGGTGGCGGTTCTTCTATGTTATCGATAGCGTGTTCTTCTGGAACAGCTGGTGGAGCTGGTGTGAAACGACGACTGGCGACGCTTATTCTTCCTTCGATTTCTTCCCCAGCAGCTACTGGTGTGGTTGGTCTAGAGCCGTCAGAGCTACGCATAACATACATATACAACAATTTAGTAAAGTACCAACATTTTATATACACATAAATGTAAAGGTAATAATAAATACCTCATGCCTCCCATCGGAGATGCCGGACCACCAAAATGATCGCCCATATCTTCATCAGATTCATCGTGAACAGAAGCAGCAGTACCAGGAACTGCACCTGCTTCCTGTTGTTCAGTTATTGAACTAACCTCAGGTACAGGTACTTCACCCATTGGAGCTTCATCAAATAAACCACCTTCAAAGAGGCCACCCGCTAAAAAATTAAATTATAATTATTATTCTCTCTTTCTTTCTTAATAAAAATAGTTATGAAAATAATAGTAATTTCTTTTATCATACATATAATGTCTTGGCCAAGATGACCACCAAAACCATCATCTCTGATGGGTGTATCTATATCCATAGCTTGAGTTGTGGAGGATGTTCCTGCTACTGGCTCTTTTTCTTTTTGTTCCAATGCTGTTTCTATTCCTGGTCCATCACTGAACAACATGTGACTCTGAAATAAAATCCAGAAAACACTAAATGAATAGGCTGATGAAAGCTAAATTGCTATTGGACATGTGTAAATTCAATTACAAAAGAAAATCGAATTTTTTAATTTAATATATCTTGTACATAAATACCTGGTCTAATGAAGGTTCTATACCACTTCCGTGTCTTAGTAATTCTGGTGGTTCTGCATCAAAACTCATGTCACCAAAACCTTGGTCATGTGTGACTAAGGACAAACTACCATAATCTTCTCTCATTGTTATTTCCTCTGCTCTAGACTGGTTCAAACTAAATTGGGCTTCAATATCAACATCCCTAGAAAAAAAAATTCATAATATAATGATCAATTTATAAAGAAACATTTGCAAATACTATAGTTTTTTAATAGATGTTTAACAAGTTTCTTACTTAAGCTCAGGCATAGCAGTGTCAAAATCATGAAATACTTCTGGTAAAGTAATAGCTGTTACAGCTGCTTCTCTATGTTCTTCAGGTAGATCTACCATACCTGGCCTGAATGCCATTTTGATTTTTACAAAAGCCTCATTGCAGTCAGCCAACAAATATTTTGCTTTTCTTGAGTAAATTCGTACAACTCCCAATAGCAAATGACCAGATGTTCTCAAGGCCATTTTAACCTATTACAATATTTTAGATATAATATGACAGAACGATGAAAACATTTGTCAGATCTTTCAAATTTTTAGGATATTTACCTTTGGTTGTAATATACCATCTACTGATTTTTCTATATTGGTTTCAAATACATGTGCCTTTGTTAGTTTTTTGTCCCAATGAGCAGCCAACCATATACGGGCTAGAGGCCCTTTTTTGGCCAACACAAAATGTGCATAAAACATGATTCTTGTATTTCTCTAGTTGCGATCTATAAAGAAATTGAATTACATTGATAAGTCAATTCAACAGGTCAGTTGGAAATCAATTCGTAAGTTAAATATAAAAGAAGGAAAGTACAATCAAGGTGAATTAGAAGCACACTTAGGCCCGGTTGCACACATTAACATTATTTCAGTTTTAAGCGAGATAAACGTCTGTCTATTCATTTAGAAAGAAAGATAAAGATAGATATATGTTTAAGTTTCGCTTAAAGCTAAAATAATGTTGGTGCAACCAGGCCTTAATAAGTTTGTTTTTATTTGACTAAACTTAACGACAAACATATTTCTGAGATAATTATTTCCTCTTGACAATATTGTGCTTAGTACGAAATAACAAGTCACTCAATGAAATTTATTACCAGTTTAGCTACGTTGCATTATATTGGCATAATATTTAACACATAAAACGCACAGCAACAATCAACAATAATACTATCTAATTTGTGAAAATGTCAACATCAACGCACAAGATGGCGTTTCCGTCTATAGTTTTGGCGGTTACAAGGTAGCGTTAAATTTCTCATACCAGTTCCGTTATAATGCGTAGTGCGAGTCGTCGTGACAACGTTCCGTCGTTAGGCCATGCAAAGCCGCAACATATTTTGCATAGAAACAGTTATGAACGCGACAATTTTCTTAATCATCGACACATACGGTGCATGCACTCCCAAATTGTCTTAACGCGTCCCCAAAACTAACCACGATTGTGTGCGATCAAAGGTAGATAACTCATATTAATTCAGCGAGGATGTTGTGTTAGCGCCATCTAGGTTAAAAGAGAGAATTAAGCCAATGGCACACGGTGCTTGCTTCGTGCTAGTTTGCTTGCTGGATGGAAGTACTCTATTCTGATTGGTGCATTTCTGAAGATGGATAGTAATATACCAATTAAAATAGAATATTTCCATCCAGCAAGCAGTCTAGCACGAAAACAAGCACCGTATGCCGCTGGATATTTGCAGGATTCACACCGTGTCCGATGTCCGAAATATGACATCCGATATCCAATAAAAGAATAGCTTTCTAATGGAGTCTCTACTAACCAATCATAAAGCTTATAAGTACTTGTTCGGCCAATAAATGTAGGCTGAATAACCCAGAGTGGGTTATCCAGAGCCAGTTGAACATGCTATTAGCTACGTTCCGAAATTCACTGCAAGTGCTAAATTTCTGTAGGTCTATATTCTGAATCCTCTTTTATTTAAAAGTGTCTCTAAAAGAAGCTTAGGAGCCACCTGATTGGCTGAAAAAGCTACATTTAAGGCACTTTTATCGATAAAAAGGATTCAGAATATGGGCCATAGTATACGTTAACCCCGTATCAGACTATACATTAAAATTAAGATTTAATTGAAATTTATAGCGAATTCGGTAGCTTGCACTAGTGCGCACTGAGTGCGCATTAAGGCTTGTTTATAGTACATTCTTATATTTAAGATCGTGTCTTAAATACATATTTAAAAACATTTTAACTAATAAAATGATTTGTACGGATGTTATACATATCATGGTTAAAAATATTTGAGAATTTATTTGAGAATTATTTAAGACAATCTTTAAATATAATAACATACTATGAATAAGCCTTAGTGCGCACTCAGTGCACACTAGTGCAAGCAACCGAATTCGCTATTAGTCAATCAGAGCAAAATTCACTAAGCTCATGTTTAGTGGATTTTGCTCTGATTGGCCAATTTTCAATTTAATCTCAATCTTAATCCGTAGTCTGATACGGGCTTAACAACACATGAACTATAGATTTTCAGTACTGGCAGTGAATTTCGGAACGCAGCCTTTTTAACCTGTAAGCATATTGAAAAATTTAATTTTAATTATATGCTATGTTATCACATTTCTGTCTAAATATATCTAATTAATTATGTACTCAACTTTATAATTGTGCTAGATAATCGCAGTTAAAATTAACGACAATTTTGTCATAACTTGCATTAATATTTGTCATGTAATATTTAATTCGTTTTACAGTGGACTGTTTTGACAATGGGAATTGTTTATTCGAGGTTGATGCGGTCTGCTCGCACTTTCAACATTGCAAACCGAGCCGAAAGAATTATTTCTCGAGAGAAACCAATTCCTGCTCCGCAATATACATCTGCAGAAAAACAAAAGAAGTTGGTAGATGAAGGTAATTTAGAATCATCATATATAATTTCAGTTACTGCGATTAGAGAAAGATTGGCCCTGTTAACCTTAACACATCTAAATTATTATAATGCCAATATAATTTTCAATTGTTCACATAAATGTGCATATAGTTCAAAATCGTGGTCGTTATGTGTTAAGACTATTATAGTGTGACTTATGTAATCAAGAGAAAATTCCTTAATTTGAAAATAATATGCAAGCTACTCTTTCATTTTCTTTTCTGACTGTTGTTTTTTTTAATGTTGTTTTTATATTTTAGTATATCCAGGATTCTTGGAAAAGCAATATCAAAAGGATATGCGGTTAGACCAACGATTAAAAGATGTTTTTGTAACATCGACAGATCCGCAAGTATGTATTATTCCCATTAAGTTGTGTTTTCAGATTTAATATTAGTTTACTGTATTAGATTTAACAAACTATAATAAATATTTTTTGTGAATTATTAATATACGTTTATTTTTCAAAAATATCAGAATGTCAAAAAGTTATATCTTGGTTTTGTTTGAAAGTGTTTTTATACTTTCTTATAATAGACTCCTTAATTTATTATTGTTGTGGAGAAAATACAGGGATAATTCTTATGATATATTTTATGCACATATCATTTAATTTTTGTAATATTTTTCAGGATATAAAATCAAAAGCAGAATCAAAATTCTTACCACAGAACAGACAAAGCATAACTGAATTTAGCATTGATTTTTATGAGCCTGCAGTAATTTCTGAAGGAAAATGTACATTGAGACAGGCTTTCACATTTATTTCTCAACATAGAGATGATCCCATAAAATATAATAGTGAGAACATAGCTGCTGAATATAAACTAGATAAAAAAGTAATAGGTATGTATAGTTCTATCTATTTTTTTAGTAAAATTAACTTAATATTAGTGTTTATCAAATCTCTATAATACTTGAATCTTTTCAGATAATATATTAAAGCATTTTAAAATTTATGTGAGTGTTTTGCCAGAAGCACCAGATAAACCTATATCAGATCCATTACAAGAGTTGATTGATCAATCGTATAAAGATTATAAGGAAACGTTTCTTACAGAAGAAAAAAAATAGAAAGAAAAGATAATATGAACATACAATAATATTGTATATAGAAATAACAATTTTTATGTAGAAAAATAATTTATTAAATGTTATTTCTACATTTTACTTTTCAAAGTAAGTATACACTAGTTTATATCGACATTTGGAAATGGTGTATATTTTACAATAAAAAAGGAGTTATGTATACTTTTGAAAGTGTTTGATAAGTAATGTCAGTGATCGGCTTCTTCAATTAGTTGCACATTCTTGTAAAATCTGCAAGTAAGGTTTGATATGTTATTCTAGCATTGATGAATAATTCACACAATAAAAATATATACTCTGAATATTATTTACTTTCTATGATGTGATAAGCAACAATGATTGCGACTAAAATGTGGAATGGCCTAGAGACGGACGGCATCGAGTGAGAATAATCTGCGAAAAAGCTCTGGCTGTTTGAACTTGTTTCTGGAATGGTTGCAGTCTTCAACATCATCCAGTAAAATGCTTTCATTTTTAATCTCTTCTTTAACTCTGCACCAACTTCTTCCCGAATACGTTTATTGTAATTATTCAGCCAACGTCGCTGTGCATAATATAGACATCAATACTATGAGTATTATTTTAACGTAATGATATTAAATTCAAGATAGTTTTGAAGTAAGTTGCAAATAAGACTTACGTGCAACGGAGTTAGCATATCGACATCGATAAGTTTCGGTTCGTAAGGGACCAAAGTGACATCTCTGAATTTCAGGAATTGTTGCTTGCTATGTGTCTAGAACAATTGATAATTAGCAACTAGTAATTATGAATATTATAATGTTACTATTACGCAGTTTACACTTAAAAGTGTACTAAATACATACTGATTTTTCAGCAGAGATCACTTCGATTATGTTCTCTAAACGAACACCAAAATCGTCCTCCTTGTAGTATCCTGGTTCATTAGATAGAAAGAAACCTGGCTTCAGCTTGATGGAACATCCAGTGACTGAATTGTTGACGAAATATGACACGCTGATAGGCGCTGCAACGCGTATTGTTCCACTAGAATGGCTTTTATCGATTGCATTCTGTCTTTTCGCGAAGCAAGGATTTTTACGGGAAACTGTTGATTACGAACATTCGTGAACCGAAGAGAAGTGGCCGATTCCATGACCAGTTCCATGCATATAATCGTAACCGGTGCTCCATAATGGTCCCCGTGCGACAACATCCAACTGATCTGTCGTTAGACCGCTTGGAAAGATCAAAGACGACAGTTGAATCGAACCTATCAGCACTCTCGTGTAGGCTTTCTTCTGCTCATCGGTCGGATCTCCGAAATGAAGAGTCCTGGTCACATCGGTAGTACCATCTGTCAAATAATATGGTTTTATTTTTTTTTTCATGTTCCGATTATTTAACCAACGAATAAACGCGAAAGTGAGAGAAATACTAGAGAGAAATTTAAGTGCTTAAGTAAAAAAATTGCCAGTTTTTTAATTAATCAAGTTTTGAGGTCTAAAATTTAAATTTGATCTGACAAAATAAAATTAAAAAATTCGGAGTTTTATACCCAAGTATTGTCCTCCGGAATCCACCACTAGTGTGGATGTGGTCCCGATTTTAACGTTGGTTAAATTAATTGGCTCGTAATGTGGCATAGCACCGTGCGGTCCGTATCCCACGATTGTTGGGAAAGAAATGCCTTTATTATCGTCTTGCTCGTAACGGAGTTCATTTGCTAATCTAGCCACTTGCATCTCGTCCCATCCTTCAGGTTCAAATTCGTATTGCTCTTCCATATAAGACAGAAAATCGCACATTGCCACTGCGTCTTTTAGATGAGATTTCCTCATACCTGCCGCCTCAACTTTGTTCTTCTCTGCTCGTAGATTGATTATGGGCGAAGATTTTGGTAATCTTTTCTTTGGTGGAATCTGGGAAGATTTTACACGTTGCATTCGTATATCTTTAATTTTTGTTAAATTTTCCATTAAGTGAAAAAAATGACTAGATCATACTATGTTTTATTCATTTAAGAATAAAATTGTACTTACAGAATTGTATATTTCTTTAGACGCACCCAGTGTATAGCAGCAAGGCGAAGGAAGCCAAACTGTATCCCAGGCTTGAGACATGGTCCTTAAATCGTGCCAAATAGTCGTGTAATTATGCCACCTATAACGTTACTAATCGTCATGAAATGAACATGAAATAAACATTTATTTTTCAATTAATTTTAAAGAAAAGAATAAGCACGCACTATCATCTATCTCTCGTTCCGTTCATCGAGATTCATGAATTATTGGAAAAAGAGATACCTTGGAGGTCTTAACTTCTATCACTCACTTGACGCAGTTTTTATGGTAGCAGGAATCGGTTCTCAGATGTATGTCGACGGCCCGCAGGATCTTTTGTCGTGGTGCGTAGAGATGTATGGATCCGTGAGTGATGATCGCGTAGGACCTTAGAACAGGCGTATGCGGCAGGTCATAGCCGCGGATGTTGAATAGCCATGATATCTCGTCCAGAGCGGTGACGACGAGTGCATCGGCCGATGAGACCTCCATTTCTAGTCGGATTCGTTGGATTTTCTCCTGCCACGGTTTACCGGAATACTCGTCTGGCAACGGATATGCCGCGTGGGGATTGTACTCAGGTCGGCCCACCTGCCAGATCAAGTCCACCAGGTCGTTACCGACTGCGACCAATTTTACGGGGGAATTTTCTAAACACAAATAGGATCATTAGTCGCGTGATCGAGAAGATCTATTTGGATTCGTCGTGATACTCGAATCCGTTTCGAAACTTTAAAAGAGAGAGTTGAAATTCTATAATCAACAGGTTTTCTAGATGCAAACACATTGTTTTTAATATAAATCGTCTCATTAGACAGAAAAATATTAGATGTAATGTTAATTAAAAGAAACATTACCTAAATCGTCCTCCCATATCTTCCACATAGATGCCGGTATTAATTTCGGATTAGCACCGATACGTACTTTCGTCTGATTTTGAAATTCGTGCATTAACCATTCTGTTATCGATGGTACCTGTAAAATTAATGAGATATTAAGATCTTGATGTTACATATTCGCCTAATTTTTTATTTCGTGGCAGATTTATGGACAATCGACAAAATTTATTAATTATGCAAGGAAGATGTTAAACAAAAGTTTGATAAGCAAATGTTGGCGAAGTAAAATACGTCACAAGTTGCAGATAATACGGAAAATGTAGCACAGTGTAGTAACTTGCAAAGCTATTGCATCTGTGTTAGCGATGGTACGCACATGTATATAAATATTAAACTACGCATACAGAATGGTGTTTCGTGCTCTCACCGCATGAGGTCTATAGCTAAATTTTTATTCTTGTAGATTCGTTAAAAGTCTAGAAGTAGTCAAAAGTAAATCTTGGTTTGGATTATGGAAATTCTGCGACGAGAGAGCGCATAATATTGATATAACGTATTAATTTTAAAGTTTAAATTGTGATGGGTGGTTTTACGTAAAAAAAGTATTAAATGAGTTGTAAAAGTTAGAAATAGATGTAGGTACATAATTTTTTTTTTATAACCTCATAATGCTTAAAAGTAATAACTTATTTATTTAATTGTACATGAATAAGAATTTTGCTAATTTTTGTTATAATATATATAAGGTGTGGGGGGGCCACTCAGAATGCCTGCCTTCCCCTGCCTCTCGCACTGAGTACAAGAGGTGAACGATCATCGATGACAGAAACATCGAACGAGTCGCGATTTCGTGTCGTTCTCACGCTCAAGGAAGGAGGCTTTTGCTCCTCATCGTGGTTGAATCTTACTTCCGTGTTAGGGAAGAAGTGCAAGATTAGCTACTACAGAAGTGATCCTGTGAAGCATGATCTTAACTTTCGATCGCTTACGCGCCCCTATATATAGTATACGTAAGGAGATTTTAACTGCGAGAGAGAGGAGTCATTCGTGTAGCCACCTAGCGGCTTACGAGATTGTCATCGTCCAGAATTAATAAAGGTCATTCTACAATTGCGTAAGTGTGGTCGGTAATGTCGGTCTACACACAGCTCTACACACTAGCGCTACAAACTCAGATAGTTATTCATATTCCAGTTTTATATACTTAAAAACATATTTATTTAAATATGTTTATTTAAGTATATTTTTAAAAATACACACGAGATTAATTTTTATTTGTAAAATTTTATTATCTAATAACATCGTGAATGTGAACTGTTATTTAAGGATTTGCAGAAGTTAAAAGAAAATACATATGCCCATATTCATACCCTTTGTCCACAATCTTGCTTTAATCTTTAAGCCGTAAGAAATTGACCAACCACAGTCGATTATTTTAAAAATAATCAATTATGGTTGGTCAATATCTTACGACTTAAAGGTTAAAGCAAGATTATGGATAAGGTTGTGATAGTCAGGCCTTATATTTAAGGTCTCCTTAAGTTCAACTTCAGATGCTTTGTAGCCAATAAAATGATCCATAGAATATCTGAAGATTATCTTAAGGAAGCCTGAAGTATAAGGCCTGACTATGAATACGGGCATTAGTTGACTTTGGAGATCTCGTGCGGTGAAAACGCGAAACACCGTTCTATGTGGGCAGGTTTATTTACACGTAACATATGTGTATTACTCGCGCGAACGGAATAGCAGGAAGGTTGGATCAAGTTATCTGCACTTGGAGTTAAGTTAAGTGCATTTGGATAACACTCAGCGGTAAGAGATAATCAAGATAATCGTAAATTGTAAAATTTATGAATCATTAGTTCCGATCTACAATAGATATAGTAAGTCTTAAGTCTTAAGAAATTGACCAATTACAGTTGATTATTCCCCTTAAATTTGACTATGATTGGTCAATTTCTTAAAGCTTAGAGTTTAAATCACCTATTATAGATCGGGACTTATACATTGAACATGTCTAGGCATTTATTTCGAATAGTTGAAAGTAGTCGATAATGTCTTTCTTAAATTATTTCCAAGATCCTTGGAGATTTAATATTACCATCGACGAGATAATATTAAAGACAGTCAGCTCTGGATATATTTTGATACTAACGAAAGACCTCCGAGGGTCCTGAAGATAATTTAAGAAAGATGATATTATCGAACATTTTTAAGTATCCGAAGACATCGGCATCTCGTCGTTCGATCGCATCGATCACATCGATTGTATCGATTGCATCGCTCGCATCGATCGTAATCGATACTTCGAAAGCCGCTGCTGCTGCCATCTTGCCACTGGCCGCAGAGCAGGACGTGCAGGAGTGCTGATTCGAAAAGCCGGCTCTTATTTTCCGCGGTTTCGATCTGCTGAGTGGTGAGTGTCACATGAATTATCGTCACCGGTAATGCCGAAAGTTAGTTTTGTCGACGACAGAAATAGTTACATAATCGTCGAAGAAGCATATCTCGGAAGAAGCGGAACGGATTGTTGGTTATACCGCGCAGTGTTGTACGTTTATTGCGTTTTGAAGTTCAGTTAGATCTTCACGCTATAGCTGCGTTCACTTTGAGTGCTTATGCGCTGTCATTCTATCTTCTTCCCGCATGTAATGAGCGATAGATAGAATGACGCTTACAGCGCGTAAGCGCCCAAAGCGAACGCAGCCTATATCAACATTCGAGAAAGTTTCAATTGTGTCACACGCTAATTATCGGGAATGTCGAAAATGAGTTTCGTGCTTGAGTGACAGCAAAATATCGTTAGAAAGTTACCGAAAATGAATGTCACTCAACGGTTAGTCGATAGCATCAAAGGAAATGTCGCATATATTGAGATACTTCAAGCATCTCAATCGCCGCTACGTTCGTTCGGTTATGAAACTGAACGCGATGTTATAACGTTCGAAGAGTCGTCTCGTATTTTCCGCGATTCCGGCTTGTCAGAGATGAGTGCCACGCATGAATTGTCGACATGGGGAGTGCTAAAAGTAAGTCTCGCGCGTTTTCCGATAAAATCTCTTCGAGCGCGCGCCGAAAGAGATCATATCTCAGAATTGGCCGTTGGAATGTCGCACAACGCGTTCCTTCCATTATGGCGGTTAAAATGCATATTGGCGCCTGTTTTTTCGGCTTCCCGGGAGAAAGATCGATACTAATAGAATTAATAAATATTGACATGTAATGTGCCAGTATCATTCGCATGTTGAATCGTGCATTCTATCCGTGAGATACCATTAAACAGTAATCGTCTTCAATGAGAATTTGAATATATATATATATATATATATATATATATATATATATATATATATATATATATATATAT